GTTATCAACAGGGGAGTGGGAGGAGGAGAAGGGGGGAAAAGGTACAGAAAATAAGTAGCATAGATGGTAGGTAGAAAATAGATAGGGGGAGGGCAAGAATAGTATGGGAAATATAGAATCCAAAGAACTTGTGACACATGGTCATAAACTAAAGGGGGAGGAATGGTGGGGGAGGGAGTGTGCAGGGTGGAGGGGAATGAAGGGGGGAAGTGGGACAACTGTAATGGCAAAATCAATTTAAAAAAACGAAAGAGTTCCAACTCCCCTCACAGGAGGAGTCTAATGGGGCTGTTCGGTTGCACCCCTTCCCCCTTCCAGGTATCCCCTGCTTCAAAGGCCCAGACCAAGTCTCGCCCTCTAGCAAGTGGGGTTAATCCAAATACAGTCACATCACGGCCCTCCAGGTCCCCTCCTAAGAACAGTGCCCCTTGAAGAGGAGAGAAAAGAGGTCAGTGGCTCTAGCCATCATCACACAGTTGTTAATTCTGCCCCGCCACCACACCATGGCCATCGGATCATCTTGGGTGAGTCACTTTGGTTCCCCCACTGAACAGTGACATAATGGTCATGGTCACTCCCCACAGAAAGGTCAGGAGTCTCTGAGTCTGGTCCTTCCTCGAAAAGTGAAACACAGAATTACCATATCATCAAGCAATTCTACTCCTGGGTACATGCCCCAAATAACTGAAAATAGATGTTAAAACAACACACTTGTACATAAATGTTCATTAGCCACGTTTTTCCTAATAGCCAAAGACGGAAACAATCCAAATGTGCACCAGTGGGTAAATGGATCAACCGGGACATACCCACACAACGGAACAGTATTCAGCCATAAGAAGGAATGAAGTATGGACACATGCTACCATGTGGATGACCCTCAAAAACATTATTTACTTTACGTGGAAAAAACCATCCATAAAAGGTCACCTGTTGTATGAGTCCATGTATGTGAAATGCCCAGAACAGGTGAATCCATAGGCGCAGGAAGCAGGTTGGTGGTAGCCAGGGGCTGGGGGGGCGGAAAAGGGAGAGACTGTTTACAGGGCACCGGTTTTCCTCTGGGGGCGATGAAAATATTCTGAGAGTGGATGGAGGTGATGGCTGCCCAACGCTGAGTGTACTAAACGCGGCTGAATTATCCCCTTTGAAATGGTTGACTCTGTCAAGGGGACTATACCTCAATTAGAAAAACAGCCACCGCATGCATGCTAGTTGAAGATGACGTGGTATGGAGTACTTAGTGACTAGAATAGCAACAACAGTTGGCAAAAGGAAAAGGCCAAGAAGAGTTATTTTATTCCATACACACAAAAAAACATACCAGGCACCTTGGGGCTGAGGGGCCCAGGGGTGGGCAGAATGTCTCCTGGGGGCTACTTGAGATATAGTGGGGGTTTTGCCTCTTGGAGGAGGTGACACTGAAGTTGAGATCAGAAGTGTGAGGAGGTGGCACAGGAAGAGTGGTGTGGAGGTGTGTCAGGCGCGGGGAACGCGCCTGCAAAGACCTGAGCAAGGAGATGCGGGGAGGGGCTCGCAGGGGGCTGAGGCCTGGAGGAGAAGCAGGGCAGCGGCGTGAATGCTCAGATGATGGTCCGCTCCAGGGGCCCTGGGTCAAGGTGGTCCTCCACCTACTACTATTAGAACCTCCACTTTATGGATGGGGAAACCGAGGCTCAGAAAAGTAAGTAACTTGCTCAAGGCCACAAGGCTAAGTCAGTGTCTGAACCCCATCCCTACCCTTAAAAACAAAACAGCTCAAGAGACTTGAGAATACAGTTCAATGGATACGTTCACAGGGCAAGGCCAGGGTCTCTGTGGGCACAGAGAAGGGGCATATGGTCCGGCCTGAAGGAAGAGAGGTAATCAAGGAAGGCTTCTAGGGGGAAGTGACACCAGATTGAAAGAAGAGCAGTATGCCTTATAAAGAAGTAAGGTAATGGCCCCAGGAGAGGGAACAAAAGGATTTTCTCAGGCTCAAAAAGCAACATGCAGACCATCAGGCAGATGTAGGGGGGAGGGGGCATACGAAAGCTAAGACAGGGGCAAAACCACAAATTGCATCCCTTAACTAATGTTTACTGAAGGCTTGCTATGCCCCAAACACTGTGCTAAGCATGGGGACCCAGTGGTGAGCCCAACAGGCCCAGCCCCTGCCTCCTGGAGCTTATCATCTAGTAGGGAAGGTGGGGACATTAACAACAACGGTTAACACTCCCATGGTCCCGTGGCAGCCTGGCTGCGGGATGGTCCCCACCAATCCATCCTCTACCCCCAGTATCCTGACATTCATACCTGCCTCTAGGCTCCTTCCACACTGAACGGGGTTGGCCCATGCGACCAATACGGTATTGCAGAAACACCACAGTGTGATGTTTAACACCAGATCTAAAGGACATCACAGGTTTCGCTTTGCTCCCTCTTAGATCATCTGCTCTGGGGGAAGCCAGCCATGGTGTCAGGATGACACTCAGCAGCCCCCTGGGAGGTCCATGTGGAAAGGAACTGAGGCCTCCCGCCAACAGCCAGTGTCAGTTCACCATCCCCCTGTGAGCAAGTCATCTTAAAAGGGATCTTCCAGCCACAGGCAAGTCTTCAGACGACTGCATCCTTGGCTGACACTATGGTTGCAACCTCATGAAAGGCCATGAGCCAGAACCACCTAGACAGGTCATCCCCAAAGTCCTGACCACCAGAAATTATAAGATAATGAGTATTACTGTTCTAAGCCATTAAGTTTGGGCATAATTTGTAACATAGCGTAAATAACTAATATAAACAGTAAATTCTAATCACCTCTCTTAATCCTTATAATAACCCCTGAAGTAGGTACTGTCATAATCTCTACTTAATACATAAGGAAACTGAGGCACCAAACTGTTCAGTGCCTTGCCCAAAGACAAATCCAGTAACTGGGAAAATGAGGACTTGCATCTGGAAAACAGAGTCTAAACTTGCAAACACTATGATATAGCTGCCTCCCTTCCCTTCACTTACTCACCATTATTTGGTATCTACTATGTACCAAACATGCTTCTAGTCCTAAAGGAATAAGACAAAACCCCTGTTTTTCATGGTACTCACTTTCTAGAAGGAGAGACAGCTTCAATCAAAGCAAACTACATGACTTCAGCTGGTGGTAAGTGCTTTGAAGGAATAAGCAAGGTGATAATCGGTCAGGAAAAGCGAGATGGGGGTACCTCTTCAGACAAGATAACTCCAGAGGTCCGCCTCTCTGAAGTGACATCTGACCAGAGATCTGACAAGAGGAGGAGGAGGCTACCATACAAAGAGCAAAGAGAAACATAGTCCAGGCAAAGACAACAGCAGACGCAAAGGCCCTGAGGCAGAAACAACCTTGGTATGTTGGAGGAATGGCAAGACAGCCAGTGTAGCTAGAGCAGGATGGGTTAAGGGCGATGAGAGCCTGGAAAGAAGGTTGGGGTCAGATCCCCAGGCCTTGTAGGCCACCATAGAAAAGCCCGGAGTTTATTCTCAGAGACGTGGGAAGCCACTGGAAAGTTTTCAGTACAAAGGGGAGTGGTATAGTCTGTCTTAGCATTTAGAGGCGCATGGTCTATTCTGTAAACCAAACCCCCTTTGTCTCCTGGCCACTTCCAACTCTACTCCCATGATGCCCATATAACAGCTAACAGTTTACAAAGTTCTACACATGTCCCTTCTGAGACTTCCACGCATGCTGATGGCTACAAGGTCAAAAACATCACCCGTCCAAGGAGTGGGGGAGACTTTAGAAGGGCCAGTTGTAATACTTGTAAAAAGATGCTTCGAGTTTTCTTAAACACCCAGTAAACACCCCAAAAAAGATGCATCTCATGCCCTCTGTATAGGGAGCCATGATTGGCAGCTTAAATGTGATGGACTGAGCTAAAATAAGAGGAAGATAAAGAACTCTAACAACAATAACAACAAAATCCTTGAATGACCACTTCTGAAAGGCTAAAACGGAGCTGCTGCCAGCAGTATTAATAATGAGCTAAATAAGAATTATCATCAAACCCAGCCTGAGATCTGCTTCCTGAGCAGGGTCCCAGGGTGTGGGTCCCTTCTGGATGTCTGGATGTCTACTCTTCTTCTAGACGAACAACCCAATTGTTCTCTTGTTGAAAACAATCCAATCAGAAGGACCCATGCCCAAATCTGCACTCATGTTTTACTGTAAATCCTTGTAACAAAACCACTATTCTCAAAATGAATTAGAGAAAACACTGAGATAAAATTCACAATATGGTCTTGTGTTTTGCTAAAAGCAAATATAAGATAAAAATGCTACAAGGAAGCTTGCTTTGGGTACTGGCAGTTTTTCTTTCTTGATTGGGTAGTGGTTGTACGTAATTTTGTAACAATTTACAAAGAAGGACACAACTTTCACCCAAGAAAAAAGAAAAATAGAGAGAGAGAGAGAGGATAATGCTTGCTTGGTTACCACTTATGGTGCTTTCTCTGTACCAGGCACTGTGCTAGGCACTTTGGCACTTCACACGTTTTTCCCTCAGGTAATCCCCCCAACATTCTATTCTCATTTTAGTATTTGAGAATATGAGGCTCAGAGAAGGCATGCCGCTCACCAAAGATCACACAGCAATAAATAGTTGAAGCCGAATTCGGTTCCAAGCCCATCTAATTGTAAACCCTGAAATGTCTGGGGTCCGGCACCTCCTACCAGAATGTCAGAACTGGCAGGGATCTCAAAATCTTTTCATTTAACAGATAAGGCTGGAGACTAGCCTGGGATTTCTCGGCTAGCACCTGGAAGGAAAAGCCACCATGGTCCACACTCCTATTCCAGTGCTCCTTTTGTGGGGCATGCGCTCTTTCAACTGGGTGAGGATGGGTTAGAGGAGGGACAGCAGGAGTGAGAAAGACCGCTTTTCCCAAAGACTGCTCTGTGCGGAGAGGCCGGGCCCTCGTCACGTTCCGGGCGCCCCGCGCCCGCCGTGTGCCCTCCGACCGCTAGGAGCACCGTCCTGCCGCCCTACCTGGATGGATGAAGGGCTGCCTGCCGGGCCTGCCCGGCGGGAGCGCACTGGCACTGGACTCGCTCATGGCTGCGTTCCGAGCACCGGAGAGGCCGTGGGAGACCCGCTCCGGCCGCCGCCGCCGCCTCCTGCCCTTCGCTCCAGGAGCCGGGATTCCAGGTTCCGGCGTGGACGTCACAGAGGCTGGGGGTGGGGGCGCGGAGACGGCTCTTCCCACGCGGGCCGCGCCGAGCCGCTCGAGCTGCAGGGCGCGCGGCCGGGAGGTGTCGGCAGGTGGTGCTGTGCTGCAGGCCCCGCCGCGCCGGCTCCGGGGTGGGCTGCCGGCTGCAGACCCGGGAGGGCTCGGTCCAGCGGCCTGACAAGCGGCGGCCTGATAAGGGGCGAACTCCCAGATAGCTCACTCAATTTTTTAAAAAGTATAATAAAAATAACCAAACGACAAACACGTGTTTCAAATAAGTTACCATTTGGGTACAAAACGGGGGAGAAAAGGATACACTTGTTTGTAAATGCATAAGACATCTCTCGAGGGCAGAGCTGGATGACTTGTTGAGAAAGGTGCCAAAGAACTTTCTCCTCCATGCTGTTTGTCTTTAAAACTTGATACATCTAACCATGTGCGGTTGAAAAGCTGGAATTAAAAGTAAATGCCAAATAAATAAATGCAATTGTGTATACATTTGTACATAATACTAGTAATTGCCAAGTTAAATAAATAATGGGGAAGTGACCTATGCAGAAGAAGTCCAAATAACATATGTGGATATTTCAAGCAGGTGGCGCATAACGCCCCGTTCTTTAAGTGTGAGTTCCACCACGCGACTTCCTCCCAAAGAGAACAGTACGGAAAGGGAGGGCGGGGCACACAAGTGAGTAACTTTATCTGGATAACAGGCAACAGACACCGTCACGCAGACAATCGAGGTCAACATCAACAGTCGTAACTCATGCAGATGGTATGCACCCTTGATATGAGGTCATGAAAATGTGGGGGGCTTTCTCCTCCAAACCCATAACCCCAGTTAGGTCATAAGAAAAACATCAGACAAACCCTAATCAAGGGATAGTCTACGAAATACCCGAATCAGCCTCATGAAACTGTCAAAGGCATCAAAAAAGGCAAAAATCTGAGAACCATCCCAGCCCAGGGGAGCCTATGGAGACATGACTACATAAGTGTAATGAGGTACCAAGGGTGGGAACGTGAAACAGGAAAAAAGTAAGCAAACCCAATTAAAGTGTAGACTTCATATAATAACAATGTGTCGATATTGGCTTATCTATTGGGAGAAATGTACCATACTGATGAAAGATAGTAATAATCAGAGAAACTGAGTCTGAGGTGTATGGAAACCCTCTGTACTATTCTTGTGTTGTGTGTGTGTGTGTGTGTGTGTGTGTGTGTTCTTTTTTCTTTCTTTTTATTTTATTGATTATGCCATTACAGTTCTTCATTCCCCCTCTTCATTCCCCTCCACCCTGCATATCCCCCTCCCCCACCATCCCCCCTTTAGTTTATGTCCATGTGTCACAAGTTCTTTAGATTCTGTATTTCCCATACTATTCTTGCCCTCCCCCTATCTGTTTTCTACCTACTGTCTATGCTACTTATTTTCTGTACCTTCTCCCCCCTTCTCCTCCTCCCACTCCCGTTGCTAACCCTACATGTGATCTTCATTTCTATGGTTCTGCTCCTGATCTATCTGTCCTTTTAGTTTGCTTTTGTTTTAGGTGTGGTTGTTAATAACTGTGAGTTTGCTGTCCTTTCACTGTTCATATTTTTTATCTTCTTTTTCTTAGATAAGTCACTTTAACATTCCATATAATAAGAGCTTGGTGATGATGAATGCCTTGAATTTGACCTTATCTGAGAAGTACTTTATCTGCCCCTCCATTCTAAATGAAAGCATTTTCTTTCATTTGCTTTCATTGGATAGAGCAATCTTGGATTAGGTCTTTGGATTTCAGGACCTGGAATACTTCTTTCCAGCCCCTTCTTGCCTGTAAGGTCTCTTTTGAGAAATCAGCTGACAGTCTGATGGGAACTCCTTTGTAGGTGACTGTCCCCTTATCTCTTGCTGCTTCTAGAATTCTCTCCTTCATTTTAACCTTGGCTAATGTAATTATGATGTGCCTTGGTATGTTCCTTCTTGGGTCCAACTTCTCTGAGACTCTCTGTGCTTTCTGGATTTCCTGGAAGTCTATTTCCTTTGCCAGATTGGAGAATTTCTCCTTTATTGTTAGTTCAAATAAGTTTTCCACTTGTTGCTGTTCCTCTTCCCTTTCTGGTTCCCCTATAATTTGGATGTTGGAACATTTCAAGATGTCCTGGAGGTTCCTAAGCCTCTCCTCATTTTTTTTGCATTCTTGTTTCTTCATTCTTTTCTGTTTGGTCATTGTTTTCTTCCTTCTGGAACACTTGTTTTATTTGAGTCCCAGTTTCCTTCCCATCACTATTGGTTTCCTGTGCATTTCCCTTCATTTCACTTAGTTTAGCCTTCATTTGTTCCTCTAATTTGTGACTAAAATCAACCAGTTCTGTGAGCATCCTGATCACCAGTGTTTTGAACTGTGCATCTGATAGTTTGGCTATCTCTTAGTTGCTTAGAAGTGTTGACTCTGGGACTTTGAGCTGTTGTTTTTGAGCCATAATATTTTGGTCCATTCTCGCCTGTTATGTTGAGGGGCGGAGCCTTAGGTGTTCACCAGGGTGGGTCAACCCAAGTTGCTGGGTTGTGATGCTGTATGTGGGGGTGGGGTCAGAGAGGGGCAATGGTGCTTGTTCCACCCTCTCTCTTGAATTTAAGTCCCTTCTGCTGCTTCTTGCAAGCAAGCTGGTCTCCCCTGGTGCTGGGTCCTGGGTGTGTGGGCCTGTGCACCCTCCAGGACCCTGTGGGTCTCTCCAACAAACTCTCTGTGAGCCTGGGAGCTTCTCCCAGCACCTCAACCCCAAAAGTTTCTCCAACTGGTGCTTTTAAGCTTTAATTCTCGTCACTGGGGCCTTAGCCTGCATGGCCTGTCTCACTGTTCGCTCCTTCACCTGGTTTATGTGCCCGTGAATGTGTGATCGTAGTCAACCAGCCACCTTTCGCCCTCACTGGGTCCACCGGTTGCCACCCCAGGCCTGGGGTCTGCCAACCTCTGCCTGTGCGCCAGAGTCAGTCTGGCCACTTTTTTCTGTGTGCCCCCATTCCACCAGCCGCTGACTCCCCCAGCCTTACCAGTCTGGCTGAATGGTTCGTTGTTGTTGGACTTCCATGCAGTTCAATTTTCTGTGTTTTGGTTGCATTTTGTTACTAAAACTTTGTTGTCTTTAAACTTGGTTGTTCTAGGAGGTACAGTGTTTCCACCTACACCACTATCTTGGCCAGAAGTCCCCTCTGTACTTTTCTGAAAATTTCTCTGTAACTCTAAAACTGTTCCAAAATAAAAATTTTATTATGTTTTAAAAAATAATTGCCTTGTTCAAAATAAAGACTATTTTTATTGTATTAAGGGTAGTGTCACTGGGTTTCCAACATGGGACCTATTTTTCAGTTGTTTCCTGAGTAAGCTGGACCACATGCCTCAGCCTCTTTGAGCCTCTGCTTTCTCATGTGTAAAATGGGTATATGGTCCTAGATTCTGAGCTGTAGTGAGATTATCACCTGAAGGGCCTGAGCAGAGCATCTGGGGTGGGGAGGGAGGGGGGAACTCTAAGCTGGACACCAACATCACACTTATATAAAACAAAATCCAAAGGTAGAAATGTAAATACTAAAACCAGGTAAATACTAAAAGAATAATAATAATAATAGGGTTTTCATTAAAGTGTCTGAGAGGGGAAGTCCTTACTAAATTTGACCCAAACCCAGAAGTCAAAAAGCATGATAAATTCAACTACATAAAAACTTTAAATTTTGTAACACAAACAATGACACTTGTACAAGTATCTTCCCTGAAATGTTGTTTATAACAGTGAAAGAGTGGAAGCAGCCTAGATCTCCACAGAAAGAAGGTTGGTTAAATCAAATTTGACACACGTGTTCAGCTATTACACAGTTCTATATGTAGACGCATAGAAAGTTGTCTGTATGGAAGTATGTGAGTTAAAAAAGCCAGGAGCAGAAGTGTAGTAGGTGAGCTACCATCTGGGTAAAGAAAAAACAAGATGTATGTGTTTGCAAATGCACAGTACATGTCAGGTCAATGGTGGGGGCTATTTTGTTATGCTGTACAGATATTATCTATACATGTTTGAATTTTTTTAAAAATTACCTTTGAAGTCTGTAGCCCAGAGGAGTGTCATAAATGATTGTTATTTCTTTTTAAAAAAAATCACCCTAGGATATGTTTATTGAGTTTAGAGAAAGAGGAAGGCCACATGTGGAACCCATGCCTCCGGTATGTGCCCTGACCAGGAATTGATCTCATAACCTTTTGGTGTACCAACAATGCTCCAACCAACTGAGCCACTTGGGCAGGGTCAATGATGGCTATTTTTACTGTGAAATAATGCTTCCGTCTTCCCTTCTTCACCAGGGGCCACCACCCAAACAAGTATCCTAGCCCACAGCTGTGGAAGGGGATGGGTGCGACCCATTTTCTTTACAAATGGAAAACAGAATGGGGTAGAGATGGCGGTGACTGAGCAGTGACCCTAGAGAGAAGGCTCAGAACTCCTGGCCTTCCTCTGCCCCTGCTGATGTCACCTGGCTCCTGGCCTTTGCTAGGGTCTGCGTTCTGGCCAGGAGAAGCCTCGGCTTCTCTGTGGGTTAGGGGACACAGCCCAGGCTCCTGAAAGAGACTGCTCCCTCCTGGCTGAGGACTAATTTTACAGGAATAGAAATGAGGTCATTCTTAGGGAAAAGGTCACAAAAGTCTTCTACTGGAAGGAAGGAGAAGAGGAAGAATGCTGGTTGCCACACAAGAAGAAATTCAGACAGAAGGATGGCAGGTAGGAACCAGAAAAGCAATCCTTGATTCTATTTATTGCTTTATTTCAAGGGGAGGCACATGTCTTGCCACAGCACCCTCTATGGACTTTCTCGTTTCTAGCACTTTATTTTGTACAACTGTTGTCTACTTTATTTTCCATGCTAGAGTATAGATGGTAAGAGGTCTCTTTTATTATTAGGGGGATAATAATAATAGCCATTTATTGATA